TGGCGTGCAGCACCGTGCACTGTGCAGCACCATGCACCGAGTGGTGTGCAGCAGCGGGCACTGAGGGCGATGCAGTGCCAGGCACCGTGCACCCAGTGGCATGCAACACTGTACACCAGACACCACGCTGCACCATGCGCCGTGCACCCAGTGGTGTGTGGCACCGTGCGCCAAACGCCGTGCACCACCTCCCACCGAGGGCGTGCAGCACCGCGCACCGTGGGTTGTGCAACACCGTGCACCGAAGGTCGTGCACCAAAAAGCGCGCAGCACCGTGCACCAAGGGCCGTGCAGCACCGTGGGTTGTGCACCGAGGGCGTGCAGCACCGTGCACCGTGGGCTGTGCAGCGAGGGCGTGCAGCACCGTGCACCGTGCAGCACCGTGCAGCACCATGGGCCACGTCCCGAGGGCCTCATCCAGCCCCCGGCGCAGCCCCATCCACTCCCATAGGTGCCCGTACGGTGCTAGGGAGGCCCATAGGGTCCCCTGTGGAGGTCACCAGACCACGTGGGTCACCTATAGAACCCTCATCCTCTGCAAGGTGCCCCTGACCCCGTGTCCCCTATAGACTCTTCACAAGCTCGTTGGCCCCTATAGGGCTCCCGTCGTCCCTCATAGGGTTCCCACAGCCCTGTGGTCACCTATGGAGTTCTCAAGTGCCCTATGGTGCCTCCAAGACCCTGTTGGCCCCCCTGGACCACCCATGTCCCCCTCTGGGTCCCCATGACCCCGTTGTCCCCAGTGGGGTCCCCACAACTCCATGGTCCCCTCCAGAAGCCCCTTGACTTTGTCAGGGTTCCCCAGGACCACGTTGTCCCCTACGGAGTCTTCATGACCGTATCGTCCCCTACGGTGTCCCCATGACCCCATCATCTGCTACGGTGTCCCCAAAGCTCCTACCATGTCCCCACAGATCCTATGGTGTCCACCCCTATAGAGTCCCCATCATCCTCTTGTCCCCTACAAAGTCCCCACAACAACTATGGAGGTCTCACCACCCCGTTGTCCCCTCTGGTGTCCCCATGACCCCGTCATCCCCTACAGTGTCCCCAAAGCTCCTGTGATGTCCCCCTGACCTCGCCAGCCCCTATGGAGTCCCCACCACCCCTACCAAGTCCCTACAACAACCACGAAGGTCTCACCCCCTGGTTGTCCCCTCTGGTGTCCCCATGACCCGTTGTCTCC